TACTATTTTGGAAAGTATAAAGAAAGCTCCAAGTGAAGCTTCTGAGAAGAATGACCGAAAGGAGGAACGTTTGGGCAAAACGTTGGTGTTCGGTGTAAACAGTCATGGACTAAAGGTGTTCCAGGATCGGATTTGGATACCTAAGACAGGAGGATTCAGAGATCTTCTTATGGAAGAAGCTCACAAAACCATGTACTCGATTCATCCCGGTAGCACTAAAATGTATAGAGACCTGAAACCCTACTACTGGTGGCCGACGATGAAGCTTGACGTTGAAAAGTATGTGGCCGAGTGTGTGACATGTGCGAGAGTCAAGACACAACACCAGAAACTATATGGGAGTTTAGAACCTTTACCTGTGCCTATGGGTAAGTGGGAAGACATTGCTATGGATTTTGTCACTAAACTGCCTAGAACAAAGAATGGTCACGACATGATTTGGGTGGTCATCGATCGATTCACTAAGAGTGCGCATTTCATAGAAGCTAGGGAGAAATGGTCTATGGAAAAGCTTGCAAATTCTTATGTGAAGGAAATTGTAAGACTTCACGGTGTTCCGCTAACAATTGTGTCGGATCGTGATAGTCGTTTCACCTCATGGTTTTGGAAAAGTCTACAAGAGGAAATGGGTACCAAGTTATGTTTAAGTACAGCTTACTATCCGTAGACTGATGGTCAGAGTGAAAGAACGATACAAACACTTGAAGATATGCTGAGAGCATGTACCTTGGAATTCCTAGGTAATTGGGATGAACATTTACCATCGGTAGAATTTTCCTATAATAATAGTTTTCACTCGAGCATTAAGATGGCACCTTACCAAGCTTTGTATGGACAAAAGTGTCGTACGCCATCTTGTTGGCTTGAGGCTGGGGAAAAGCAGTTTATCGGACCGGAGATGGTTCATCGAACTGCTGAAAAGTTGAAAATAATTAGGGAAAGAATGTTAGCAGCTCAGGATCGTCAAAAGAGCTATGCTGACAATAAGCGAAGACCGATGACTTTCGAAGTTGGAGATTCGGTTTTGCTTAAAGTCTCGCCGTGAAAGGGACTTATAAGATTTGGTAAAAGGGGAAAATTAAGTCCAAGGTTTATTGGACCGTTTAAAGTTCTTCAGAGGATTGGGAACCAAGCTTACAAGCTCGAACTACCAGAAGAACTGAATGGAATTCATAACACTTTCCATGTGTGTTATTTGAGGAAGTTCACGGGAGAAGTTCCCGACATGATTCCACTTTCGGAGTTGAGAATCGATGAGAACAAAAGGTTGATTGAAGAACCAGAGGCAATCATTGACCGAAAGACAAAGACGTTGCGACGCAAGATGGTCGAGTTAGTGCTTGTCCGATGGAAACACACGAATGAGCCGAATCTCACCTGGGAGACGGAGAGTGACATGATGGGTCGCTATCCGCATTTGTTTGTTGATGTGTGATTCCGGGGATAGAATCATTTTAAGGTGGAGAGAATTGTAACGCCTGTGTTTCTGGGCTTGTCATTAATGTTGGTATAATAGTCTAGGTTAACCTTTGTAACCCGTTTTGAAATAATAGAAGTGTATTATTTGAGTATTATGTGTTATGTGCTAAATTGTGTGTCTTAATTTAATTAAGAATAAAAATAAGCATCAAAATGAAATGTTATACAAAGCCTATATTTATGGATAATGTTGTAGTAGTTGAAACGAGGTTTTCGAATATATAAAGAATGCCGAAATCCGAGTTATAACGAAGAAGTTATGACCTGTCGAAGTTTCGCGACAGAACCGGCACGACCCAGCGCGACGTAAATAGTGAATTTAAGGTAGATAGATATCTATCCTTAGTGATTTAAATGAGAATTGAAGATCTCATTGATAGTAGTGCAACGACGGAAAGACGAACGGAATCGGAGTTCAGATGAAGCAGTTATGAATTTCGAACGACGTTTTCCTGTCCCGGCCTACTAAAGATAATATATAAGTAATATACTTATAATATATTAAAAATAAAGTCAAAATTATCCAATGGAGTCTAAACGAGAGTCGTAGAGCATAATCTCACCTTCACGGCGATATAAAGAACGTTGAAAACGGAGTTCGTATGCGAAAGTTATGAATTTATGAAGTTCGGGACGCGAAACCCCAAAACTGTCAGAGACCACGACGTGGCAAGTGTCCTGACACCTCCGGGAGGCCCCCAGATGCAACTTGGGATGACGCATGCAGTGACGACCAAGCCCACGACGTGGAAAAAGGTTGCCACGACGTGGCAAGGGCCAAATTTGCCCTATAAATAGATTTGAAGGGCCAGCCGTTTAAGGTTGCTATTTTCTCTCTTCTCTCTCCCGTTTTGCATCGATTTGCTTGCCAGAAGTACCCCGAAGCCCCGGTAATATTCCCGAGTCCCGAAGCAAGTCCCGAGATCCCAAAGATCCCGAGAAGTGCGGTTTCCGAGCCGAAGCTCTGCCCGCGAGAAGTTCGATTTTTGTAGAGATCTTCCAGATCTGCTGAGGATTACTACTTTTGCAAGTCGTAGTGCTGTCCGATCATCTTCTGGTCAAGTGAGTGTATACTACCTTTCACAAACACGATAATAATACAAGTATGATTTGAGTGTATTAAGTATATTGTTGTTTATATGTGTGAATGTGTTGTTACTTTCTTCTAACGCATAATTATGAAGTATTTTATACGAGATACGTGTTATGTGTATATTTTGTTGTTATGTGTGTGAATGTATATTCACTTTCTTCTATCTTACAGATCTGATTATTTCTATATGAAATACGTGTTATGTGTGTGTGCCTCATCTGTTATGTGGAAATGTATTGATTTAACATGCTATACAGGTTTTGAAACTATGTATAAAAATGTATGTTTTATCTACTAATATGTTGGGTAGAACATGGGTAGATAGTTGGTGTGTAATAAACAGATGAGAGGCCTCGATGTTGTTTTGATCCAGTCATCTAGCGGAATTTAGATGACGACCACAGACTTTTCTAGACAGTCCAGTGGAACGCTAGCAGGCTCATAACCTGTAGGTGTTAATGAACTTGGGTGTTCATTCGCTGTATTCCATCCCCTCATGGTTGCCTTATTTGACTTATATTGCTGAGGAACCCCCGAAGCATGTGTTGTCACCCCGATGAAATATTCTTAGACTAGGTCCCTTGTGTTAGTTATTTTAGGGACATAAAGTGAGAATAACGGGAATGGGTAATTGGGTTATTGTTGGTTGATAATAATTAATTTAATTATTTATTGTGGGTTGAAAACCCTATATGCTCACCAGGCTCCCAAGCCTGACCCACTCAGTTTTATTTGTATTACAGGAAGTGGCGCAAGGGCGTAAGATGGATGAACCATCAAGTTGTTTTGTTTACAAGTCTGTATATGTATATATTTGTTGAATGACTTGTAATGTTATCGTTTATGCTTATTGGTCTGTATCGGAACATGACACCCCGAGTTTTGATTATATAATGAAAATACATTTCTTTTATGAAATGCTTTGGTAAACATTGTTTTATCATGTTTTGTTTTTGGGAACAAATTCCGCAACTCTTTCAAATCAAAAGGATTTACTCTGAAATTATTTTAAAAAGCATAAATGAAAATCGGTCTTTTCTGGCCGTGATTTTGGGGATGTCACACCCTGTACTTTTAATTAATTTCTTTAATCCCGAAATTAATTCCTAATTAATTTCTGATTAAATACTAATTAATAATATGATTCCAAATTAATATATTAACAAATCATATTTATACCCCAATTTATTATTCTTAACAATAAACCAGCCTCTCTCCTCAACAGTCATCCTGTCTAGTCACAAGTGTGAAGGCAACCCAAAAGGACCATGCTCACAATCGGGTCAAGTACATACTAAAATAGTTGTGGACTTAGACATTAATTCAACACTTCGGTCCTAAGGGTGGCTTCGGCCCTACATTGCTTTTTTTTTTCAAATAATCTTCCCGTTTCGAGTGGTTTTTGACTAAGTTAAGGGTCGGGATGCACCGAGTGATTATAAAAAGTGAAAAGTGATTTCGAGATAGATTTGGGAGAGAGAGATGGAGCGAGAGAGATTGAGAGAGACTTTGTTTGTGACCTTTGTTAGTGTTTAGCCTCTTAATGCAATGTTTGTAAACCCCGTTATGCCTCGTTATGAGTGTTATACGCCCCTGAAAGGTATGTAATAGTGTTTATCGAGTCGTTACAACACTTACCCTGTTTAGGGTTTAGATTTTCTAGACATATGAAACCTCTAAATGATACTTTGTATTAACATATAGAATTGTTCACTAGTATTTTTAGAGTAAGCCCTAATATATAGTTGAGCTAGTTGAGTGGACCGGTTTGACTTGTTGACTTTATTTGACTTTGACTTAACCAGAAATTGATGGTTGTCACATTGTGCATATATAGGATGTTGTATTTGCTTTGCCTTTACAGAGTTTGAGAATGTTTGGTGGTGTTTAGAAGGCCATTGAGGTTTAACCTTAATGTTTTTTTACCTCCATTTTTCTTATGTATTTATGTACCTAACATAGCCTTCTAAACTTGGTTGATGTTGTGTTTATTATTATTTCAGGCATCCCCGATACAGTTAGCTGGAAGGCTACATTCAAGAAAGAAGAACAAACAACAACAATGGATCTCATGGTGGAAGTAAGCTTTTGTTGGATTAAGGTGTCTAAGCTCATAATTAAATTGGTATAAACTTGTAATTAGAAGCAAAGTTCTTTTTGGGTTGCCTTCATAACTAGAAACTGATTAGAATGACATTTGTCGAGAGAAGAAATAATTTATTAGTTTGTTATATGATCAATAAATTAATTAGAAGTAGATTAAATTAATTAATAATTGATCATAATTAATTTGGGGTCAGTTGTAATTAATTAGAAGTGCAATGGCTGCTTGGTAGTTGCTTAATAGTTGAGCAAATGAGAGATTCTAGAAACCTCCTATGGAGGACGGTTTTGGGTCCCTTGGATGGAAATCTAGAATGCTCTATATAATGAAAAAAAGTAGATAATCACCAAGATTTGAAATAATTATATTTTATATTCAAATATAGGGTTTTTAGAGTTTCTTGACAACTATATAAAGGGGCATAAGACTTATATTTTTCAGCAACTTCATTCTAAGATACCCTAGCTAAAAAATCTCATCCTATCTTCTCTCTCCTCTCATGTTACAAAGGAGTTACATGGAACCTCAACTTACGTTTAAAGCTTACATGTTGTCCTTTTTATAGTTTTCATTTTTATTAATTACAAAAGATTTTTTCAAAATGGTACAAACCTTAGTTTTATTTTAATCTCTAATATTACATATTAAATTTTATAATTCTTATATAATATTTAATGTTGTCTAATATTAAATATTAAATTTTATAATATTATATGATATTCAATGTTTTTGTGAAGTATTTTTTTTAAAAAATATTAACATAAATCTTTTAAAGAAATGAAATAAATTAGTCAATTTTATTGTTGTTAGAAAAAGATAATGTTTAGGTTAATATAATCAGAGCACCACAGTAGCTGAAAAATTCGAAATCACCATTTTGGTCAAAAACTCGATGACCTGATTGCCATCAAGTCCGTATAAGGGGGTGTTTGGGATTGCGTTTGAAAAATGCTTATTTGCTTATTGACTTTTTGAAAAGCTAATAAGCCAAAAAAAAATGTTTGGCAAACTCAAAAGCAAATTTCAAAATATCTTTTCCATAAGCTTCAATAAACACCTTTTTAATAAACATGAAAAACGTGACATTTTGAAACTGTTTATGGCTTTTCAGCCAAAATAACTTCAAAAAACACTTTTTAAACCAAACACTTTTTAACTTATTGACTTATTGGTTTTTCACTATAAAAACTTATCCAAACATTTTTTAAAAAACTTTTTTTACTACCACTATAACCAAATAAGCATTTGTTTTTTTTGCAATTTTCTAGTTAAAAAATCACTCTCAAACACACTCTAAGAATTCATGTTGTAGGCTCTAGAACTCTAGAAGAGCATTTCTGATTTGAGCTCGTACCTACCTCAGTTTCTACCAAAAACTACTTTATTTGGTAAAATTTCTTTTGTGAATTCAACTTGGATCGACGAAAGTGACTATACCTGAAGCATGCTTTCTTGCTTTTAGTACTCAGGAAATAGGTATACAGTGGCACTTAATGCCCAATGCAGTTGCCGTGTCTCGATCTTTCTTTGAAGTTCTAACATTAACGTGAAATTGAAATTGAAGAAGATTTGGTGGTTGATCTTAAGAGAGTTGTTTGTGAACTCCACTCAAACACATCGTCACATTTGCCTACCAACTGTTTGATGAAATGCTTGAGAGAGATTTGAGGTTTAAAAATCATTATTCCTACAGTTACGTTTCAAGCCTCTAAAATAAACGTGCATTTACGTCACACAAACACATTCCTGGACCTTATGGGTGTCAATATCTCGTTAGGTTCAAAAACCAGCTTTAAGAAGTTTAAGCGGTTCATCGCGCTCTATTATCTGTTCCTTGCATGTTAGATTGCTCTAGTTTTTCTTTTCCATCAGGTTCTTTATCACTTCTTTTCCTAGACAAAGGGAATACCTTTTGTAGATCAGATAGTTTACAATAGGTTGACTTCATCCCAACAGGACGTTTCTTCCTATCTTACATGTGGTACTGTAAGTTCTCTCAGTTTGCTTAACAGCTTAAGCCTATAATTCAAACGTCTATAGCTAGCTTGGAAACACGATATGAAGGAATATAAAAGTTCTGACTATTTGTGAAGTTCTCAACATATCCTTGCTTTATCTGGAAGTAGCCATAAAAATTAAATGTTGCACCATATTTAATGGTATTCTGGGAATGCACCAATATCTTTCAGAGGATAACACAAAATTGTAGATCCAATGGAACAAAGAAACTTTTCCCTATCCTAAAATGTGTTATTTATCACAAGTGAGCTGGTGGTTTGCATATTTGTGGATCATTTTCCTTATCATTATGCTTGCCTTTTCGTTGCAATCAGACCATGCTTAAGAATGTGGTTTTTGTAGCTAACTGGATTGAAGTCGGTTCATGTTGTTTCATTTTCTCTCTTCTTAGTTCTCTACTTCTCTTTTCCCTGTTCCATTGGCAAAATTAATCAACAATTTGAAAAATCTTTCAGCATAACTGCATCTGTTTCTGTTGTGTTTGTGTATGCAGGTGGAGATGGTTGTTAAAAAGAGTAAGCTCAAGCTCAAAAAGCGACATGATAATAACACCTTAGACCCTCCAACAACAAACTACATTTTTAAAACCTTGATTTCCTCCCTTGAATCTCACGAGGTACAAATTTTCAAGCAATTAACTTGTTTGTTTCTTCCTTTCGGTATCTGTTTATGATTTTGCCATTTTGTACTCCGTCCCTTTTAGAAAAAATTTGGTACTTTTTCAATTCATATATGACTTGTGGATTGTTGCAAATTAATGTGGGTTGTTTCCCTTTCACATTCTAAGTTTGAAGTTTACCAGTTTTCTCATAATTTTTTAATTTCTTATCAAATCTTGAAATGACTTAGTCCTTTCAGACGCATACAGGACTCAATACTTGTTTCTTTTTTATTCAAGTTACTTAATCATATTGTGACTAACTATTATTGCATTTGTATCATTATTTATAGCAATTGTATTTTTTAAGTATATTTCAATTTTTATGATTTGTCGTTTACAATTTTAAGTCATAACAGTTCTCAGATAAATAATAATTTGCTGTTGAACATTTTTTATAGCCGCAAGGGTAAAATGGTAATTCACTCCAAAAAAGAAACATTCTTTGTCTACTCTATATCAGTTATTCCAAAGAAACATCACTTATCCATTCAAAACAACACTTTAAGAAAAAGAAAGAAACAGTCCCTTACATAGCTTATCCATGCAGAACAGTTTCTGAATTTTGTTTCTATTTCTGTTTTCTTGTTTGTTGCATCTTTTTTTACAGAGTTGTAGGTATCATATATATTATAATATCATGTATAGTATAAATGTATAATCAATAACACCCTCTTCTAAGCTGCTTCCAGCTTGTAACTTTTATTTTTCTTTTATAATCAGGGTATCAAGTCACAACTCTTGAAAAGCACATATTATTTGCTCGTTCAATTATCTTCAAAGCAACAACTTTCTGTAGGCAAAGGAGGTGATCAAAATGAGTTGTTCATGAAAACCAATGAGGGTGAAGTTAGGTTGAGTTTAAGGGATTTATGTACACTCTCCAATACCCTCTTTAAGGATCTTGAAAAGAGGTTGAAGCAGTTGCATGATGTATCTCTTCAACTGGAAGAAGTAAATCTACTGATAAGATGTTGTGTGGTAACCTTGACAATGGCATTTCATCTACCCCAAAAACATTTTTTGGAAAGCGGAAGAGCTTTTCTTCTGATATTCAAAAAGTTAAGTTTACTTCAAGTAGCAGATATGAAGAATTCACATTCTTCTTGTCAATGCATGTGTATTGGTGAGAATTCTTCTGATTCCTTTGCTGAGGTTGCATCTTTACACCTCTTTCATCCCTGCATTCCTTCTATCACGACAATCCTTGAGGTAATTATATATATATATATATATATATATATATATATATATATATATATATGTATTTGAATGGCTGATTTTTATCTATATTATATATTAAGATAGTAATTTGCATGTTTTGATGATATGTGATCTTAACAGGTATTTATAGACGAGCTTCTGGTGCATGGGCGTGTGAGAAAGTATTTGCACTTGATTCATTCTTTGTCTCCTACTAACCAATGTTTATTTAAGCATGGTCCTAATTCTGCTGACTTTGGAATACTGATGGAGATGATATATTCTCATTTTTCATTATCAATATCCAAAGAAGGGTATCTTGAGGAATTTCTTAATAAAATAACGTGGGCCCATTCTGATTATTGTCACAAGTCATTGGAACTAAGCATCACTGCAGCCAAAATTTTGCTGCAAAATCCGGTTTTCCTTTCTTCACCAAACTTATTGCAGGCCCATATCGTTTCATTGGTTTCCAATGTAATTAATCTTGACATAATTACCGAAATGCCCTCGCGACCTATCCATCACTACCTTCCGTTATTCGAAAGCTCTGTTACCATGTACACACAACACATGTCCAAATTGAAAACCGAGAACCATTCAGCTAACAATAGTGGTATTTCGGTCATTTTACACACGGAAAGCTCTCGGCCTTCTTTCGAATCGTGTATCGAGCCTGAGAAAAGGGCGAAACTCGATGAAAAGATAACTGCATTGAATTGCTCATGGAACTTAAATCTACGAAGAGAGTTTTACAAGAAAAAACTCGACCTCTTAGGTTCCTGTATGGAGTATATTGACGAAACTGCCCCTCATGTACTTGACATAGCATGCCGAGATGAGGTTATATCTTTCTTAAAATGCATGTTAAAGAGAGCAGCTAATGATGATAACGACATCCAACTTCCTCTCAACGGTGATGCCAATCTGCAAGATATTTGTCTTCTAGCATCTTTATTGATGCTAATGAGCAATTCATTGATTCAATCTATTTGGTGTCTAAAAAACCAACAGCATCAGCATCAGCATCCCATGGAGTATGATTTTATTTTGGGCATCATCAAATGTTTCAAAGAATTTAGTATCCGTCTTCCCATCCAAAAATTCTCCTACAACGTTATGGAAAGCTGTAACGAATCAAGGCTGATGCTTATACATTTTTTGGGATTGCTATCGTTAGGCTTTGATAGCGGGCTTGATTTTTTAGTCAAGAGTTGCATTTCAGTGATAATGGCTTTGACTAATTTATTTGTTTTTGAAGAGGGTAATATCGATGCCTTAAAGATATTAGCTGATCCCAGATGTTTATCATCACAAACAGAAACATCTCTTACCATTTATGACAAGGTAAAATTTCTGTTTTTGTGCTTGTTTTCACATATTCACTGTCAATTGTCATGCTAACTGAGCTTTACAAATTGATGCAGCCTCTGGTAGTGGCAGCCAAGTTTCAGAAGATAAGGGCACTGTATGTGAGGTATGTTACTTAAGCTACTTGTTTAAACTAAGATGGGGCAATTTGCTGTGCTATAATCTAATCGGCTAGATTTTTCAAGGTATAATGTCTTAAGGACAAAAACAGACTGAAAATAAATAAAGCTGAAAGTACAGTTTTGTCATTAAATTAATTGCAATGATAAGTAATACATAAATAAATTGAAGTGGGTTGGTATTTCTTGCTTTTATCCCTTAATACATGCTTATCATGCAAGTTTACATTTTCTGTTTATTCTTTTGATATAGCAGCACTTTGCTTAGATACATGTGATACATTGTCTCTGTGTAAAAAAAGCAATCCTAATTCAAACACTGCTTTATGCCTTTCCTCCCATACAGAGACAGTGTTGTCTCTGGATAAATGTTGTTTTAAAAAAAGGGGGAAGCCTGATGTATTATTAAGTCAAAAGGAAATGTCCATATATAATTATTAAGTCCATTCAGAGTCGGAAAAAAAAAATATATTCCTTCCACCAAATTGCATTAAGCAACAGAGAAGCTGATTCCTTTGAGCCCAGTCAGTTTGTTGTTATGCATTGCAGAACAAGAAGGCATTATTGTAGGTTTGGCCTGAATTGGACAAAATTGAAACTTTTTGTCTCGTTGAAAAAGGTGTTTGTGCAAATGGGACAAACACAAGTTTAAAAAAGATTGTGTACTAATGTTTCCATATGCTTCTCTTAGCAGCAGTGCTTATGCCTCAAATGACTCCACACTAACACAAGGTTTGGATCCAGATAGCATAGAAGAAACTTGCAGTGGGGAGATGTACCTCAAGACCCGATTATTAGGGTCAGGTAATGTGACTGATTTTGATGATTTAGCTGACTTTGTTGAGTGCAAAAAGGGAAAGGATTATGTTGGTTGGTTAAAAGATCGAGATAAATTTAGAAAACGGAAAATAAGCAAAAGAGTGAAACGTATGTGGGATAAAAAGAAGCAAGCATGGAGATCTATGAGGGGGAAGGCTTAGATACATTTCATTCGAAAACTCTTGTTTTCAAAGATGTATAGAAAATGATTGTAGGACAATTTTTGTAGCCCTTTCATTTTGTAAAGTTATTTTGGGGTGACCAGTTATTGCTTATGTGGATAAATTGATTTTATCAATTATTATGTTATATTCTTAATTATAGATTATCCAAATATAAGTATGTATATAATGCTAGCTTTTATGTTCTCTTTGGTTTTTAGGAATAATCATAAAAGTTATGAATTTATTCAATTATGATTTCTGCAGCATTTTCTAAGATGACCATCCTATTCGACATGAGTCATGTTGTTGGATTAAATTAAATTTGTTACGGGTTGACTATAATTATCAAAAGTATATTTTGTTGATAATAAAGTACATCTTGGATTGTTTGATTTCAGATTTTGGACTAACAATAGGGTTGTAAACGAACCAAACGAATATGAACAATGGCTTGTTCATAAATGAACAAAGATAAGCAAACACAATTGAACATATATAAACATAAACGATATATAATATAATAATTTAATATAAAACAATTAAACATATATGAGTATAAGTAAACTTAAACGAACGTAAACAAACCTTTACGAACATAAATGAACGAACGAAACCAACGTTCATGTTCGTTCGTTTAACTAAACTAAAAAGAATTTGTGTTTATGTTCGTTCATTTATTAAATAAACGAACATTCTACCGAACGGTTCACAAATGGTTCGTTGAACGTTTAGTTCGTTGATAGCCCGAATTGCAGACAAAAGAAAGAGAAAGAAACACAAAAAAAGTTGTCAAAACCTTATGAACCATTCCGAAATTTCCTTAAAATGATTTGTTTTTTTAATGAATTCTAACAAAAAGTTAAGGTAACATAGCAAAAGTGAATTACATACGATAGAATGCGTAAGATGTGCAATGTAGTTGAAAACCAATGATATATATTTCAGATGAAGTTCCAATTGTCACCTATTTCTCAGAAACAAAGGTTTTGTTTCCTATTATGAGTTCCTGTTTTGATGTTATGGCTTGAGAAATAAGATGATGAATACATTTGATCGTGTTCAAGATAGAGCGATTAGGAGGAACATATATAAACATAAATAAACATAAACGAACATATAATATAGTAAAATAAGATGATGCATAACTGTGTTTTAGTTAACAAACATAATTGAACATATATAAACATAAACGAACATATAATATAGTAAAATAATAATAAAAAAAACAACTAAACATATATTAACATAAGTAAACTTAAACGAACGTAAATGAACATAAATGAACGAACGAGACCACTGTTCATGTTCGTTCGTTTAACGAAACGAACAAGAATTTGTGTTCACATACGTTCATTTATTAAATAAACAAACTTACCGCCGAACGGTTCATAAACGATTTGTTGAATGTTCAGTTCGTTTACAACCCTAATTGTAGACAAAAGAAAGAGAAAGGAACACAAAAAAAAGAGTCATCAAAACCTTATGAACCATTTCGAAATTTCATTAAAATACTTTGTTTTTTAATGCATACTAATAAAAGTTAAGGTAACATAGCAAAAGTGAATTAAATATGATATAATGTCATAAGATGTGCAATATACTTGAAAATTGAAGATATATATTTCAGATGAAGTTCCAACTGCCACTTATTTCTCACAAAAACGAAGGTTTTGTTTCCTATTATGAGTTCTTCTTTCGATGTTATGGCTTGATAAATAAGATGAAGAGTACATTTGGATCGTGTTCAAGATAGAGCTATGAGGAGGAGCAAACTGTGTTGTAGTTAACAAACTTCTTTTGTAGGGAAACTTGGTATAGCTTGTGGACTGGGTGAAAAAAATTTCAAAGATTTTTTTCCCATTACGCTTTTGAGTAATGAAATGAGTTTAATGGGGTGTTGAAGGCAATTATGAGAGTTAAGTTCCCAAAAACAATGTTAACCATTTTTGAAAAGTGTGTTGCAAAAAAAAAAAAAAACAAAATACACATCATCGAAATGGAACCACAATATGTTTAAAAAGCTTGCATCTCTATGGGAGCCGACTATGTTCCTTGATGAGATCAAGAGGAATATTTCATGTGAAAGTGTGTGTATCAAATCTTTTACCTTCTCTTTTATAAATGAGCAAATAGTGGTGTCGGTGGAAGGTATTGACTATACGGTATGGAGATGTGAAGAAAATTTGAGGATAAGTACATACTATTGTCAAAGATTAAGTGAATATTGTTTGTAATAATGATGTTGATCACGAATACATGGAAGATTAGGCTAGAGAGGAAAAAGTATGTGTTTCTTCTGGTGATAGTGCATATCATCATATGGAAGAAAAATGTTCCAGACCCTTTTGGGCATCTAAATTCTACTCAACACGATAAGAGTATGTACATCCGTTTTCCAAGATTGAATGATTTAGGGTGTTATGGAGTCAACAATTTGATTTTTGGAGGGAATCGAGTGTTAGGATGTGGCCATAAGGTGGTCATGACTTGAAGGTTACTGTTCAACTGCGATTGGATGTGGAAGTTGTGAATGGATACGAAAGCTGCAATTGAACGTGAAAACTAGGATTAGATGTGAAAGGTGATTGGATTCGAAAAGGGGTGTTAGCACATGAAAAGGAGTGATCAGATGCGAAAGGGGGTATCTGGATGCGAACGAGGGTAATCATTATGATGGGTGCCCTGATGCGAACACATTGTGACGTTTAAGATCCTTTCTCACGGCGTGAGACATATGGGCTCACGATGTGAGAATTACTGTAGCCCAAGACCATGATCTTTTAGGATTTCCCTTGTTTTAAAAACCCTAAAAGTTGATTTTAGGTTCATTATCAGCTTCCTTCATCAGAAAAACCCTAACCTTATTTCCCTTGATGATTCTTGGCCTTTTAGGAGCTTTTGGCATTTAGAAAAAGAATAAGAAGGTGTTATAAATGTGGATCTACCAAGGAAAATTCATCATCATCATCTTGTTCTTTTTCTGGACCTTTTTAAGTGTCAAAGATCCAAACTTTATTGTTTAAGGTTGCTAGATCTAAGTGGTTGTCCCATGTTATTCTTGTCTAAGTAAGTTGGAATGAAAGGAATACATAAAGTTGGCAACTTTATGCATTTTAAGGGTCCATAGAGTATGATATTGTCTAGATCTAGAAGAGGGTTGATTTTTGGTCCCTTGCATGAAGATTTTTGGTTTAATCTTTTCATTTTGACTTAGAATGGGTGGAGGACATGCATGATGCATGCAAGTCCATCAAGTAATCCTTTTTATTGACCTTTGGAGTCCCCTTTGGCTTCTAGAAAAGTTAGAATGAAAGGCTTAATGGATTAGGGACTTAAATCTTTGGATTTTGGGGTTAGACTCACGATGTGAGACATGAGGTCTCACGACGTGAGGGTGAAAGACCCTGTTTTCTACTGGGATTTTTGGAGCACACGACATGACATAATGTTGTTCACGTTGTGAGATCAGTTCAAATGATTTTACAAGACTGAGTTGGCTGAGTTGGGTCGAGTTGGGATGGAATCGGATTAAGTGGACCCTCACGGCATGACCAATGGTTAGTCAAGACATGAGACCTATTAGTTGGCATTGCCAACTGTTGACTTTGACTTCGACCATTGACTGTAACAACCAGAATCAGGAAGATCAAGAAAAGAAAGGTTAAGCTCTAAATCAAGAGTCAACTCGTCGAGTCTAGGGAGGAACTTGACGAGTTGGAGCGGAATCCGGGTCATTGAGTAAGTGACTGACTCGGCGAGTCAGCGAGTGGACTCGACGAGTCTGGTTTGGGTGAGAAAAACCCTAATCCCAGAGGTTGTGCCCTATATAAAGCACATTATAACCCACCCTCAGCCTCTTTGCTCCCCTTTTGAGTTCCAGAAACCCTAGAATTGAGTGAGCCTTCATTATTTGAGAGAATAGAGCCTTGGAGGAAAGAATCTTGGAGAGGGGCTTGAAGATCAAGGGCTTTGCTGCAAAGGAGTGGTGTAGATCCAGGATTTACTTCAATTGGAGCTTTCATTTGAGGTAATAATCTGTTGTTTGGGCTTATGTGCATTTAGATGTATCTTATGTTTGAGTTTTGGGCATTTTGAGTATGGATGAGATCTATTACAAGTTTGGAGTAGATCTGAGGTTGCTAGCTCAGATCTAGGTTGGTAATAACCCAGAAAGTCATAAAGTTTAGGCAAACAAGTTGTTGGTGAAGCCCCTTTGTTACAAACCCTAGCCCTAGAGTGTTCTAAGCCTATAACTCCTTGGTTACACGTAAAGTTTTCTATTTTACATGGGGGTTAGGCTCGAGGAACGAATCTATGGATTTGAGCCCCTGCATGGCTCGAAAAGCAACTGTATGGATTAAGAACTGAAGAGACTCGGCGAGTCACATGGGTGGACTTGGCGAGTTGGATGAAGTTAGGCAGCAACTCGACGAGTTGGAAGAACAAATCGGTGAGTCTGTTGAAGATTTCCTTGGACTCGGCATGTCTGTTCTTGGACTCGACGAGTCAAGTCGCGAAACCCCCAAACCCTTCGAGTTAAGACTCGGATCAGTAAGTTGAGTAGGGACCCAGTGAGTGGACAGGTCAGGACTCGGAAATCAGTAGACTCGGCGAGTCGAGTCGCAAATGAAAGGGATTTCAGAGCTTATGAACTCGGCGAGTCAGTAGGCTGACTCGACGAATAGGGTCAATCTAGAAGGTTGACTGTGAGCAGGACTTTGACTTTGACTAGAGTTAACTTAGTTGACTTTTTAAGGACTGTCAGACTAAGTATCATTTTGATATTGGTAGCTCAGAGAGCTAGAGGAGCAGCGGCTCAGAAGGTTGTCGGTTAGCAGCCAGAAGGTTATCAGCAAGTTCAGCAGTACCAGGTGAGTTTCCTTCCAGTAGGAATGGGTCTAAGGCCACAATGCCGGCCCGTTTAGCTAGTAGTAGTTTTTAGACTTCGGTCTGATGCAATAGTTAGTATGTTTGATGCCTTCGTGGCTCAGACAGGATTTATGTGTTATGTGTTCCGGGCTACGGCCCGATGCAGTATGCAGTATATGTGTTTATGCTAGTTGATATGTTTATGCTATGCTATGTTCAGTTAGTTTCCAGACTTCGGTCCGATGCAG